TGGACGGAAGTATTGGAGGTCGCATCCCACGTTGTACTAGAGGCACGGCTGATTCTAGGTCCAGATCTGAAGCTTCTTCCTCAGAATTTGTGATAGGCGATAACTTCATTTGCGTTGAGAGTTGCGATCTCCCATGTCTTGCAGAAGATGATGGCAATCTCATTAGTCTCGCCTCTCCCAAAGGCGACGGATGGGAAGGCGATATGGGCAAATGAGGGGAAGCTTCTCGAGATCCGTAACTTTCAGCAACGTCAAGATTGGGCGCACTCTCTCCAGACACATCCGAAGGCTTGTACACCATCGCATTCCTGTGGATATCAGGAGTTGTTAGATCTACAACAAATATTTTAGAAATCGCTCAGAAAATACAGGAATCAAGACTTGCAGCCTATGAAAGACGTAATCTCGTACTGCGTTCCGCCAGAATCGAACCTATGAAGTCGTCCCACGTCCGCAGGTAATACCCCGTTATCTTCTTGATAGGAAGAGTCTGACGCGAGGTCAGAACGAGGAGACCTAGGCATGTCTTCCAAAGCTGCAGGAATTCTTGGCAGCGGAAGTCCAAGAGTATCGGAAATTGAGTCTTGACCTAACCGAAGACGGGCCCGACGGTCTTCCTTCGATCGTGATTTAACAGCAGGTGAGGATGCAGGAAGAGAAGGAGCCAACCGTGGTGGGGAGGGGAAGTTGCTCAAAGAAAAGTCGGACACCGTCCGCGCGCCAGTGGAGGATGACTGACGTGGTTCTTCAGCCTGATTCGAATCGCGTCTTGATGATGAGGGGGAGCTTGGAGAAGTGGAGGTCGGAGAAGTGGAGGTCGAAAAGTGGGAAATTGGAGAACTCGGAGAAAATAATCGGAGCATTGCGATTGTTTTATCTAGTTCATTCTGCAGTTCTAGCAGTTCTTCGAGCGATCTGCTGGACGAACTTTGCCTGTTGGGAACTTGTGGAGGTTGAGGAGTAAAGCCCTTGATCGCGAAGATAGGCGAATTTTGAGCTGGAGGATCTGGAGGGGCAGTCATGATAACGGCGGCTCCATTTTCATCGGAGGATGTTGCAGTCGCCGGAATAGCAAGAGACACGGTCCGCAACTTCAGAGGATGAGGGCGGGTAGGTATGTCTGCACGGACTGCATGCCAAATTTGACCACTGCTGATTGAGCTGTTCCTAGATCCCGGGCTTGCAAACTGGGCATCGAGTATGGATAACCTTGAGAAGTTGGAAACAGAATCATTTACAATATCTCTCCATTCCGTGGGTACCCTGTCCGTAACAGGGGCGGCGGAAGTCATACTCTGATTTCCGGCACTGCCTTGACCCACAGCAGGCGTATCGGGGGCCCCCTTCCCAGCTTCGCTCTGGTCCCATAGCTTTGCTTTCTCCTCATCTTGGTCTGACTGGCCATGTGATATCCTCCAAGGAACCCATGGGGTACGGTTCACGGTAGTAAGCACAGAATGACGGGTGACATCAGCATTTATACTCCTGCTCTGATTTCCGGAACTGGGACGCGTTGTTACTCTGGGTGTAGATACCACTGGTGGTGATAGCCTGAATGTTGATTGACGAGCCCGGTCTGGCAATTCGGCTTTCAATAGTGCCAAATCCCTGGTCTTGGAAATAGCTGGGGTCTTTTTGTGATGGAAAAATTGGAGAATCATCATAAAGACGATCAAGATGTAGAGCTCTACTGCTTGAAGAAGTCGGCCGAGTATTGACTCTGTGAATGCGACTGCCAAAAAAAATCAGCAAAGCAACGCATGCATGAGCATTTAACCTACAGAGAATCAAGTTTCCGACGGAAATGCCAATATTAAACATTAGCGCCAAAATGGGAAATACATATTCCCCGAAAGTGTGCGATCGGGTAATCGACGAGGTTGGAATGGTGTTAACTAGCAGCTTGAGAAGAAGCAACAAGGAGACCACGATCTCCAGTGTAACATTTACTGCATATACCGTGCCATAAACATGGTATCGTTGAATTAAGCGCCAAATGATTTGCAAAGCAGTGATAGCAGGGATAGTGGCCAACAAAGCAACATTTGCATATAATCCTGAAACACCCCACCGAGACCAGCTACCACTGTGGATGTTGTGCTGAGAGCCGAGTATGAGAAAGTTGTTCCATCGATCCTGAAATGCAGGGGGTCGAGGTTCTCCGATAGGGGGCTCAGAGACATACAACCAGTAGCACAAAAAACGTAGGCCGAGGGATAGGGCAAGTAAAACCTCCCTTGCTATGATTAATGGCTGTACGGTGACCTGAGTCAAGGCACTGATGAGGATTCGAGCCAGGTCGATGACAACAGCTGCGAAAGACAGCAACACTGAAAAATAAAGAGAAACAACAGCGCTGAATTAAGCGTCAGCTCTGGACGGTCAAGAAAATACCGCTGCTACTCACAGCGTGAAAGGTTTGATGACGAAAAATAATGCAGATGCTCCACAAGCTAACATTCCGACTGAGATGAAGGGTATGTCAGATAATATGGATTCAACCTTGAAACCCTCATCAGCTTGGTGAATGGCCTATAAGTCATTGGACACACATCACAGTTATTGTTGCTCGATACTGCGGAAGAGATGAAGCTATATCCCAAGCTGCATGTCGAGAAACCAAATGCCGCACTGGACATGGAAGCGGATATGATCCAAAAGGAATGAAATGGCGTCTCCAGCGAACTAGAAGAACTGAAGTTAGACGAGAAAAAGAAATGAAGCAGTGAGCTGGTGTGGAAACCAGCTGGCGGTGTACGAGCAAAGCTGAGCAAAGACTGATGATATCAAGCATCCAAAATGGGGCCTCCAATAGTAAAAGGAACGTTACTTGGGAAGATCACCGAACCTCTTCTAAGGACATGAAGGGGGGCGAAAAACAAACATAATGAAGCCGCATTCAATTTTTTTTCTCTCCGATGCCTCGCGGATCCTAGAGCAGAAGAATCATTTGCTTAACGACGAGAGACAACGATAATAGCAACGAACGTATGGTTAACAGATATCGGAACGCAGCCATGTGTAACATGTAACCTGCGCAAAGATCAAAATGCAGTGACCTTTCAAAAGGCTAATCGGGAAATTATGATCGATATTAATATTTAAACCGTCACACAAAATTATCATTACATAAAGTCTACCGTCTGACAACCACCAGCGAAAATAAAGGTACCTAGCAGCACTAAGAAGGACAAACTGTCGTCCTTAAATAACTCTCGGGCTTGCCCGCAGCCACTACCCTAGATATCGACATCTCTCCCTGATCCTGTCACTCGTTCAAAAATTCTCGGTTCCCAGAAGTTGGCGCCTTCAAGCCTATGCACTGGGTTCCATAGGGGTCCTCAGGGTGGTTGCTCATACCTTGTCAGGGAACCGAAAATTTTTAGACAAGTAACAGGGGACGACATATGTAAGCACAGTGGCTTACCTGAATTCCCATACTCAGTCAGTAAGTAGGGTGGGTTATGCACTTCTCAGCCTAGAAGTTGAGTTAGTCTTACGACAATGTTAATGAATTTTGCTTCGGAGCCTCACGAGTCAATTTTTGAAAATTGAAATGTATGGTAGGACCCATAAGAATCCCCGTGGAACTCAGTCCGACATCACATCTTAGTATCAGCTGGTTTGCCTCAGTTGACGGAAGCTGCCAGCTTGTTCCACAAGAGGACTACGAGGAGCGGGGCACAGACTTGGAGAGATGGAGGAGGGGGTTTGCGATTATTGGGTTCCTCGCGGCTATTCTATTTATCAGTTCTGCATTCCCCTTGCGAGTCTTGCATCGGGAACACGAAATAGGAGGGGCGCGGTCTCTCAGCACTTGACCTCGAGCGTCCGCCGAGAAACAGATGTATATGACAAGACCCAGCTGAAAAGGGTTCACCAGGGCTAAAATTACAACAAAAGTTGAGTACAAATTGCGAAAAGAATCAAGACACTCGGCACCGACCTGGGTCAGAGTCCAGACAAGTGCCGTCCGCTGGGTTCCATAGGTATTCTCATGGGTCCTGACGGGAACTTCCACCGATCTTTAGTAAGGCCTAACGTTTTTAGCAACGGAAAAGGAACGAGTAGTCCATCATAGACATCGTGTCGTGTACCCCGTGTACGATCTATCACCACATCACCTCTCTTTCATAAAATGATCGAGAGAACCAGTCATCGTAGCACTGCAGTTACACGACCCGGCTGCGCAGTAGCATTTGAACCAGCAACAGCATCAGCAAGAACAAAACATGGTACCGTGCTTCACTGATCTGGCGCACCGGTATCATGTTCCCAGTCATGCATCATGAGTGACCTGTGCAGAGGAATGATTGGTGGAACGGATTGGGAACGGAGTTTCTCTTTTTCCTGCCAACATCATGATACATCCTTCTGTACGCCACAACACGTCCTTTCACGATTTTCACGACCATCACGAGTTCTCTACCTATTATCGCTAGGTTTACAGCTATGGCTCGCGAAGGGCGCGACGGAGCACAGTCGAGTTGGATGAGCACTAAGGCGGAATCAAACATGTGACAATACATAGGGCAGGCGGTCAGCGCCAGTCAGCTGCTGTCAGTTAATAGTTCATACTCCGCTCGACCTTGATGCGGCAGACAAGTCCCAGAAGTCTACTGCCTGGAGTTACCATTTCCCGGAGGTTCTCGCAAATTTTAAGATTAATCGTAACCGTCAACTAATCACGTCCTTGAGAATGGTTCTGACGTTACAGTAGCCTGCTGCACCATTCGACTTCTCTGTATATGTAAATATAAACTGTAGTAACTCAGAGCTGTGCTGGTATCTGATACAGTGCCCTGACCGGGACCCATGGCTTGCTGGAATTTTTCAGTGATATCACGCTAAATGAATTGACTTGGTCGTGGTCGAGCTTCATTTCTTCTCAAAAGATAATTGATCGTACGCTTCACGCTCCCGGGCCTGTGATCAATTCTCATTTCATGTGAGCCACGCGGCACTATTGTTATCAAAGTACATATCATAATCGTCCAAAGTTTGAGAGATTCCAGAGTCTAAACAGTTTATACACCAAACGAATTTCCTCCATTGGTCATTTGCCGAACTAGGAACATCCCCCGACCCTCATCTACGCTCTTTCCACTTCTCATGCCAATCACGCTCTTGGGTCTGGGCCGAGGCGTAGCAGTGCCCAACTGTTTCGTCGGACTTAAGCCACCACCGGTCAATTGTCTCGCAAGCGCTGCGTCACCGCCACGCAACCCAGTAAACTGACGGGCGATGGTGGTACCTGTGAACTGAGGCTGAACAGCTCTGGATGTGGAAGTGCCACCGCCTACGCTGCGACCCGTCAGTGATACCACAAGTGGTTTGATGGGCGAGTCTGCTTGAGGGTTTCTCAGATCCAGGGGAAGCAGAAGCTGGTTGTCGATGACGTTATGAACATATTGGATTTGAAGATGAATATCGCGTGGACTTACAAGGCATTCCCTACACCAAACACCTCCATCAATATCCCGTTTCGCAGCAGAGTCCAGCTTCTTGCCGCAACCAGGTTGTGATTTGTCACGTCGCCCTTTGTTCGCTCCCTTACCGCCACACACAAGACAGGACGCGTGCCATCTAGAACCTTGAGGACCAGGCACTACACCCATCTCCATAGGAGAGACGGATTTGGAACATGCCGGGCATGTCGTCGAGCTGCCAAAACGAGGGGGCGTGGTGGGTACTGCAGGTGCAGACGGCCTAGGTGCTGATCTTTCCAGACGAGATGATGAGTAGGGAGTGGTAATGGCTGCCATTGAGGCTCGAGTGACGGTCTTTGCGGCACTCGATGCCGTCGGCCGCTCGATGCCCCTACGTAATTCTGACGGCGAGGGTGGCGAGGGCAACAAAGGGAATGCAGATGTGATCGAACCTGAAACAGATGTGGATCTGACCCGAGCCTTTTCATGAGGGGTGCACTGCAACCGGTGAGTCGATAGTGTAAATGAGTGAATGCATGAGACTGACTTCCACATGACAAGCCCCTCCTTCCCCTCTGGCAAAGACTGCTTGGCCGATCCCAGACACCTTAAAGGGGCCATCGCACATCACGCATCTGAAACATTCGGGGTGATATGTCTTCGGTGGCCCTGTAGTATTAGCGTCAGGGACGGTGACAAACCGGCCTGCTGTTCTGCTTGTAGAAAGGGACCCCCCACACTTCGCGCACAGTGAATCAGGTGTTAGGATAGTAGAAGAAATAGAAAGTCGATTGAGTGCCTGTTCGACTGGTTTAGGTGTTGTCGTTGAATTAACCTCTCGAGTGTCATGTTCTGACTCAACAGAGTCACTGGGTTTGTCGGGCGAATACAGCGTATTACCATTGCCGAAGATGCCGACATGGCGCGCTGGCGGACTAAAGGGCAGGGGAGAAGATGGAGATGAAGCCTCTGTCGTAATGTCTGACATATCGGACATTAATTCCGGTGTAGACGGAGCCCAGGAAAGGCGCGGAGATGACAGACTTGAAGTGCTAGCTACACTACGAAGCGCTGGAGAACCGCGAGACCGTCTCGAGAACGGGATTCGCGATCCCTCCAGGGGTTTGCCTACAGGTGAATTATTGTAGAAGGAAGGCGAAGACGAGGAACACGCGATGCTCGCATTTGTTCGTGAGCCAGGTGACGAAGGTGATTGTGGCAAAAATCGGCTCTTCATCTCTTCAATTGCTTCAGCAGAGGGTCTCCCTGATGAGGGACTAGATCCGTTCATCTCTGGAGTCTCAACCCGTTCGCGAATAGTTGTGCTAGGTATCGTTCTGCGTTCACCAGCATCGAGACTTCTGGTCTGCCAAAAATCAGTTCGCGGAGAGCTGTTGCTTGAGTCGACGCTGTCGAAAGCAGAGGAGAGCGACCCCATTGGAGAGAATGTTTGGGGCAACTTCCTCTCCGAAATACGACCAGGAATAGGACTTTCTCCCCGATAATTTGTATTGGTATAACGCGACATTGAGGCACCAAGGGCACTTGGTGTCGGAGATGCATCTTTGGAAGGTGTGCGATTGAGCACTGCATTTAAACGTGCCGTGAGCTCCTCCATCACAGGGCTACCTTCTCTACTCTTCATGATTCCAAGTCGCTGTTCTAGTTCATCGATTGCAGGGCTTCCTTGCCAACTTGTCGAGTCTCTGCGGAAGCGGCCTACGTGACTTCGCTCTATTCTTTCTATTCCTGGAGATTGGTGGGGTTTGGAAGGCGTATTGTCCCTCTGCAAGCAACTTTCAAAACAGTCTGCGCAGGATGGTCGACCTACTAGGTCGACCATAGGAGCGTCGCCAATGTTTTTGTGACACCCGTCACAGCGAAAGCATCTTTTGTGCCAAACACGGCCTGACGTTTCCACGAAACCACCCTCGCTCTTCACAATGAGCACTGGACGATCACACGAAGGGCAGTCGCCTTTGGATCCACCGTGCTTGACAAAGCATTGTCGACACAGGAATCGGTCTGTATCTATTGCGGGAGCAAAAGGGTCTGGGTATATGGTCGCGTCTGGTGGGAATTCAGCGGAGCAGATAGCGCAGCAGTAGGATGCAAGGGATTCTTTGGGCTGAAGGACTGACCCATAAGCTTTGGAAAGTTCAGGTGCGTATGGGGAAGGAAGGACTCCTGCAGCAGCGGAGATAGTTGTTGGTGATGGAGGGGCTTCGTGATGGATGTTGCTTAACGACACCGAGTGCTTCAGCGGTGAGGCAGGCCGCGATGTACTTGATCCAATGTGTACAGAGGCGCGGTTTCCGAAAGGAGAAGATATATCGATTGCTGAGTACTTTCGAGGTAGACGTTCCAGGGGTGAAGACGAGGCATCTGGGATAACACTTTCGCTGGCGGTCGGAAAGGTAGAGTCGGAGTTGAATGGTTGTGCGCGGCTGGGAGGTCGAATCGGAGACCTCTCACGAGAAACGTAAGTCTGAGACCATCTGTCTGCAGCGGGCTCTTTGGAAGTTGCCCATTGTACTACGGGGGCTGACACCTCGTTTGATATGAGTTGACTGGTACAAGAAAATGGGACAAACCAACTGCTGTGCCACCACATTTACACCGTTCTCCTATGACAATATTCCCGCACCTCCGACAGAAGCCCATTCTTTATCTGTTGACCTGCAAGGATTGCTTCAGTAATGTTTAAGATCGTGACAAACGCCAGTAAGAGATAGTATTGGTGTAAAGAGAGCCGAAAACGCGCACGAGGCATAGTCGAACATTGATGTCGCGGTCACATGACTAGTCACCTTCCTGTTTGGTCACAATTTGAAAACCTAACTTAACTTAGGTGAGCAGGGGAGCCGAGCCATCGGTTGCAGGCGCCATCACCGTTTTATGCGTCTGAACAAAGTAAGCCAGCTTATATTGTCAGCCATGGGACCAGACAGTCAGGAAAACTGTGCTGATCCGCTGGCTTTGCATGATTCAAATTCAGAACATCTCCCCAATTGTGAAGTAGCAGGTAGTATTACTTAGATATTGTGTCCAATCGGTGAATGTCTAGAAGACAGGGATTCCATATAATTGCAAGGTATAAGTACACAATAGGCGTGCGCATACAATACAGCAGGATGTTGTAGTTCAGGACTGCAATCATCTATCATCTACAGCTTCGCACGGGTGACTGGCTGCCAGTCAACACGCTCAACCTGCAAGGAAAGCCGTTCAACAGACGCAAGCAAGTGTACAACTATAGTACTTACCATCTGCGGCACGAGTTCACTGATGCTTCGGACACCGAGCGACTGCATCCCAAAGCGGATTTCGCGTTCAAGGATACGCGCCACGTGAACTACACCAGCCTCACCGTATGCCTTCACGTATGCTAGTTAGACATTACTCACATGTGATTGAATAGAAACAACTTACACTCTGGGCGTAGAGGAACGCGCGTCCCAAACCGACAGCCCTGGCACCCAAACATAGTGCTTTAACGACATCGGTTCCACGGCGGATTCCTCCGTCGATGTACACTATCAAAGATGTGTATTAGTTCAAGTGAAATATTGATCAGATGATCGAGAAACCAGCCTTCAGTCTTCTCAAATACGTCAGGGCGCTGTTGTCGTATCCTGTACAACAACTCAATTGGTGGTAGAGAGTACTCCAATTGACGACCTTGTTTATAGCGTTAACTTCAGTGATTCCAAGAGGCGATCGGACGCGGCATACCTCCGTGATTCGATAGCACAATACCTTCACAACCAGCTTCACAAGCCAGAACGGCATCCTGGTAGCCCCTGTCACCATCTGGGGTCTTTATACAAGGAGTCATATCCACTAACCTGAACGCACTGAATACCTGAAACAGGAATGAGATAAAGCGATAAACGAGGATGCGAATGTACAAACCTTTAATGACGATAGGTAGTTTCGTAATGCTTCGTATCCATGGTATTGTCTACAGAGGGAAGTTACTCCATGGTGTCTCGTGAGCTAAACTACAACTCACCTTTTCCCATGTCATGTCAGCATCGTTCTTTATGACAAGTCCGCCAGCGGTACCAAGTCGGTCAGTCTCGCCTTCATCCTCATCCGGCTTTTTCTGAGTGGGGAGACCTTGGTTCTCCAAGTCCTCGAGATAATGTGGTACTCTGATGTCCAACTCGCGGTTACCAGGAACCAGGGCATCGACTGTCAAGAAAATTGCCTTATAGCCTAATCCTTCAATATCTCTTACGAGTCTCTCGGCAGTGGCATCGCTAACGTGTTTATATAATTGGAAGAAGAGAGGCTGCTCTGGGGAAACACGTGCAGCGGATATCTCTGCGTAAGAGAGAGAAGAGTTGGTGGACACCATTTGTATAATGCCGGTCTTATAGGCACCGCGCGTAAGATTGGCCTCGCCTAATGGGTGGCCTAGGCGGGCTAGCGCTGCACCGCTGATGTACACGGGTATCGTGCTCTTATAACCGAGTATAGTCGTCGAGGTGTCACATTGGGACACAGGTTTCATAACCCGAGGGTAAAAAAAGAAGCGACCAAAGGCGCGACCATTCTCCACGTGCGCTGTATGGTTGATGACCTTGAAAATACAATTCAGCTAGATAAAAGCACATGCTTACTGATAGAGTCGTCCCCAGCTGAAGAATAGTAAGCCATGGCCCTGTACGACAGTATTTTCTTTGCAACCTCCTGCAGATTACAGTGATGAGAGTGCGGTAGGGTAGTATACATGAGTACCTTACTTCCATGTCCTCGACATTGACTATTCTCTGAAGTGGTGGCTTGTTCTTGAGCGCTTCTTCAACGCGCAACTCATCTTTGGTTTGAACCTTGTTATTCCCTGATTCCTTTAGTCGATTTATTGACTCGTCGTCTAGAGTACCAAGATGCCTTTCCGCAGCAAGGTTTTTGTCCAAAGCGTCCGATGGATGGATAGGTATGTATGCAGCAGTAGCATCCTTTCCTCCATATCTGAGGATGACATTCGGCCCTCCGGGGTGATCCTGGTGCATGTTAGTTTAACGCACGCACAACAAATGAACGAAACTTACGAAGAGGAAGTCGGTCACATCATAAACTTTGTTTTGGATGATGACCCAGCAGGAGCTGAAAATATGAGGATGATTATGATTGTTATTTATGAAACATGATATGAAACACACCCGGTGGTGGTATGCTGGGCGACTTGTTCAAGAGTGAACGTCTGCATCGTCGATGGAAATGCGGAAAGAACGTAACCCCAAATTAGCTTAGAGCATGACGATATTTAAATGCATAGGTCGATGCCGGGCCGGCTGTCCGCGAACGAGATTGGAAGTGACCTAGTCGAGTAATGTGATGTGTGCCTCGTGGAAGTTAATGTTGGCATCGTGTTAGCAGACCAGAGAAAGAAGAAAAACAGATATCATTCTATAAGGGATCACGAAGTCGAGTCCAATCCAATGGAGTGATTAACGTTTAATCTGATTATGAGAGTATCACGTGACTGTGGTTGGGCTCGCGTTGTGGACCTGGCATCCGTTATTGTGCAGTTTCCATACTTAAACCACGCGCGCGCCAGCAACCACAAGCAGCAACTTGTTCCATCTTTTCACTTCACTCTATCTCAACGCCATCTCTCAATGATCTCAGTGCCAGGCCGTGAGGTCCTGCAGGCAATGAAACGAGTCGATATTCAGAAGTTATGCAAAGTCAGATAAATCACTCGTGCTATACCTCTTACTAACTCACTTCACTAGGAATACGGTGTAAGGGCAAACCTCAAGACAGAAGCTTTGATAGAGCTTTTGCTTGATGCGTCCCAGTGAGCCAGCCCCGATATTAACACCGATCCAGCAATTAATCACAAACATAGACCCCAACCTTCCCGAAGGACTCTTCCACAGCCGCCTCAGCGATCTACATCTGTCAGAATAATAAGTCAACCCGGTGATAGACCTCGCGGGCGCTCTAATGGATCTGTAATCATCCATGATACCGACGAAGAGGGAGAAGAAGCTATCGGAGAAATAGAAGTGGAACAGCAGCCGAAAGAACATAAACCTCCGTCGGCCCCTGTTGATCCCACCCCGAGAACCCGCAAAGCCAAAGATACCCAATATCGTCTTGGTGTCGGTCGACCAATCATTGCCGGAGGTAGCGGCGCTCGTGCTGTGACTAAATCTGTCAGTGTCTCGCGAGGGAGCAAGAAGGCGAAAAGCATGAAAAATGTCAAGCCATCAGAAGACCCCATCGCTGAAGGTGGGCGTTAATCTTCATCGATACATCCCTCAGTGATCTCAACATTTGCAGAACCAGAGCCAATCCCCGCTTTAACATGTCAGTCCATTAGTTAAACGAATTCAAGTTGTCGAGTCGCTCACTCTCACATAGCATCAGAACAAGCAGAATCGAGCGATTCTTTGCTAGTGCCCAAGCCACACTCCATACCGCCACAAATGCATACCACAAGCACAACAGAGCCTTCGTACTCACAAATAGTTGAGAATGCAGTGGCTGCCGCTGTGAGTTCAATATATGTAGTTTGATATTTATCTTACTCGCGTCCATTACAGCTTGCTCCAGTACAAAAGGAACTGGAGGATCAGAAAGCTCAGTTGTCTGAGTTGAGAGACAAAGTCTCAGGCATTATCGAGACATTCGAAACACGAATTTTGGGCCTCGCGGCGGAGATTGAGGGGCTACGTGCACAAGCACCTGGACATTGTGCTGGTGAAGTTCAGAGACCCAAAGAGACTCCCCACCGAATACCAAATCCTCCGTCAACCCCTAAACGTGTACGCAGTCCAGTCGATCCTCTTGGGTGAGATTTTTTGTTGTTTGTCATGTTGCTTCGACTCATGGGATTTCAGCGCTGCTCTGCCAGAGTCCTCAGCAACTTCTAGCGATTCTCCGAATCCCAATGGCTTACTCAGTCATCAAGAGCGAGAGACAGTTAACCCGAATCAGGGAGTGTCGCTTCTTCCTGGCTTTCGTACCACTCTTGGGAAGCGCCTTCGAGATTCTACTGCCAGTACCACTACTACGTTTTTTGAGCTCGGACAAGAGGAAGAACTTTCTGAAATTGAGATTGCGAAGAGAATTGCTCGGCCCGCTCAGAAGCGTGCTAAATTAAGTTCCACTGCCATTACGGAGGACGCGGATGACTGTTCAGGTCCGTCATCAGGCGCACAGGGTAGTCAAGACACCAATCCTGGCCCCTCACAACCCTCCACAAGACCTAGTTTCCCTATATTTGGTGATCCTGATTACGTAGAGATGCCTCCGCCCACAGACAGCCTTCTTGATTTCTTCACACCACCTTCACCTCCATCGATGAGCGTGTCCACCACCGTGGGAGCGCCTCTAGATACCTTTCGGTTTGGTTGTCTGCCTACATCCACTCCAGCTCGTTTCACTTTCCCCACTGCAATGGGAACCTTCCCACATCCAGAACCCCCCACATCCCCATCGCCAGCAAATAACGTGGATCGACCACGCAGTCGTCAGTCAGAACACCTCGGGATTTTCGGACATCGCCGTGGTAGCTCTGGAACGACCGGTAGGGGCGGGTCAGGCGGGCCCACAGGCGGACAGGAAAGTGGTCTAAATTCCTCGATGTGGGCCGGTGGTATGCAGAGACAGCCGTCGAGCAATGAGGTGGCTTCGGGCTTGGGACTGACTGTACTGCGCACGGCGGCGACAGAAGAGGGCACTCCAGTACCTCCCGCACGCCGTACCATGTACGGGACTGAGTTAGAAGGGG